CACCCACACAACACCATACATGCAGTCTACCATTTGCCCTGTACAGTGAAAACTGGGATTCATCCATGAAGAGAACACCTCTCCATCTAACCATTTTTCATTCATTCAACCTTTATTTAGACAGATAAGTCACACTGAGCCTAGAAGACTCATTTACAGGCAAGATCTGTTTAGACAGACAAAAAGTAGTGAAACTGGACACATGTAGAAATTGGAGGCAAAACAATTCCTATCAAACGTTTTCTTCTTGCCTGAGAAGAAAAACTCTATTAAAAAAACACCTCGCACAAACAAGCACATAGTGATGTAGGCATTCTGTAGAGGGGGGAGACGACGAGAGCGGTAAGCATGTCCATGGACGCTCTCGAGGTCACTGTAAGAGTTCTGATAAGGATGTAATGATCAGCCAATGTCCTCCAGTGACATTCGTAAACATTCTCGAGGGATGTCGAGGAATGGCCAGAGACAACGCCTACGGGAATCCAAGAGTCCTGCAATGATGACACAATGTTTAGTCAGCTGGTTTCATCTAGTTATCAGTTGGAAATTCCTCAGGGTGGGGGTGGTGAGCGTCAGATCACATGTTCTCCAGTCAAATTCAGATAAGATGGACTTCAAGGCCAGCCAAGGGAGCCAAATTCAGATAAACACACAGTTGTTTTAGGGACAGGCAGAACTTAATGACATCTACCTTGAGTCTGTGTTGGTGCACTCGGTTCCGAAATGTCCAAATTAGATGGCTACACCGATGGAACGTGCCTGAGTGAAATCCCCGAGATCTGATCCATTCTGCCCAAAGCATTTGAGTCCGGGTACTCGAAGCACGAACCAAGCCATCCTAAAGGCAAGCAGCATGATCGGTTCTGAATTTGCTGCCGACGACTTCCTTGATTGTTGATAAAACCAGCAACCAGCCGAATCCAAAAAGCAGGAACCAGTTATCGTAAATCCAATTTTAAATGTGCTCTATAAATAAAGTTGACTTGACTTAAAATCCACAAATGGCAGCAGAGATAGACACATCATGAAGTCTTCCAAGTCGATGAGATATCCAGCTGTGTGTGTGCCAACAGGGCAAATTGACTCGCCTAAAGCCTGTCTTCTCTTCGAAGAAATGTTGTAAAGTGTGTTGAGGGACCAACTGATCAAAGCAGTCCATAATTATGGTTCGGAAGAGGCAAGAGAGGCTCAGAAGCAGTTTCACAGACAGACAGAGCAGCAAAGCAAAGCGGAGAGGGAGGGGAGGGGAAAAGCATCCGATCTCGGCAAGAGCAAGTAGTGAAGTGAAGTGCCTTTGAGTGTGAGCATTTTCCCTCTCAAGTCTGTTATGACTACAAACTGCAGACATGTGGAGACCCCGATGAGAACGACAAGCAGCAGATGACCTTCCCCGAGACATTTCTGACAGTTAATGCATAAATTATTTGTTTATGCTACAGATTGTTACAGCAGCTGTCCATCTGGCTGATCTCAGATGATCCTGGAGGTGAAGATGCTGGATGTGGAGGTCCTGGGCTGGTGTGGTTACGCATGGTCTGCACTTGTGAGGCTGGTTGGATGTACTGCCAAATTCTTTGAAAGACCTTCAGAGGTGGATTATGGTAGAGAAATGAACATTCAAGTCATGGGCAGCAGCTGTGGTGGAGATTCCTGCAGTCAGCATGTCAACTGCACGCTCACTCAAACCCTGCAACATCTGTGTCACTGTGCTGTGATACAACTGAACATTTTACAGTGGCCTTTTATTGTGGTCAGCCTACGGCTCACCTGTACAGTAATCATGCTGCCTGATCAGCATCTGGATATGTCACACCTGTGAGGTGGATGGATTATTCCAGCAATAAAGAAGTGTTCACTAACACATTGACATCAGTCTATGCACAATAAGAGAAGAAGACATGTTGTACAGTATCTAGACTAATTCTTGGATCTTTGAGTTCAGTTCATGAAAAATGGGAGCAAAAACAAAAATGTGTTGCGTTTGTATTTTTGTTCAGTCTGAGTTTAGATGAACAGGAAAAGTGTTTCCTGACAGATCAACATATCAGTACATCCATAATGGGTTGTGGATTTTTGCATCAGGGATAGTGCATTACTGCCAAGCAAGGTGAAAGAAATATCCCTAAACTTCTTTTCCATTTTGAATATATTCATTTTTTCCTTCTCATGTCTTAGTCTCTCCTACAGATGTGAGAAGATGAGGAGAGACAAGTTGCTTCAGAACCATAATTTTAAATGTCAATTAAAATTTGCAAACGAGAAACCTGCATCGACCGTTCTAATATACAGTAGCTGCATATCACTGAATTTAATCATCCCTGTCGGGCGGGCAATCAAATGCAATGGTGACAACGTATATCATACTCTAAACTGAACTTACAAAATAAGATTATTGAGTCATGCATGTTTTAGGAATCAAAGCTTTCAAAAGGAGTTCTGCTGAGTATTTACTGATGCATCCTCTCCTAACGTCTCATCTCCTTCAGATCAAAACTAAATCTGAGGCATTATTCAGCATATTTAGCTGAGATTGATTTTTTGGGTCACAGGCAGGAGAACGAAAGTGAACAAGGAGAAAAAAAACATTTTGTTAAAATGAGGAGGGCCTACAAAAATCTCTGCAGCCTTCTTCATGATCTCTGTTCAAAATGCCGACAGCATCTGAGCTCAAAGGATTCTGGGAACTGTGTTGAAAAACTGAACTGCTCCAGATTAATTCAGCAGAGTCTGTTGGGGGAAGTTCATTCTTCTCATGAACAGCGATTGTCAGCTTCATGAAGAATATTGAACTTAAATCTTTTCAAATAAGCAACAGCATGGAATGGCAAAGTATTAACGTGCAGATATCTTACATCATCACTACAAGATCTGAAATGTTGGCCCTGAAACATTTTGGTTTATTGAACATTCAGAAGAAAGAAAACGGGTTTAATTTGAACAAGAGACTCTGTTAAAATTAAATGTTAAATCTGAACTCCAAGCTTTCAATGATCTTGCATGAAATTAGCATACTGCATTAATATCAGAGTACTGTATCCATAACAGAGTACTGTATCAATTTCAAAGTACTGCATGAATAACAGAGTACTGTATTAACATCAGAGTACTGTATTCGTATCAGTACTAGAGTACAGTATTATATTGGAGAACTATTAATATCAGAGTACTGTATTAATGTCAAAGTACTGCATTAATATTAGAGTACTATATTAACATCAGAGTACTGTATTCGTATCAGTACTGTATTAATATTAGAGTACTGTATTATATTGGAGAACTGTATTAATATCAGAGTACTGTATTAATGTCAAAGTACTGCATTAATATCAAAGTACTGCATTTATATTAGAGCACTTTATTCATATCAGAGTACTTTATTCATATTGGAGTAGTGCATCACCAATCAACCTGTATTTCTACAGGTAAATCCCATTGAGCCTCGAGGACTCATTTACAAGAGGGACCTGATTTCATTTTTTTTTTCTTTTTTCTTTTTTTTCTTTTTTTCATTTTGATTAATATCAAAGTACTGCATTAATATCAGAGTACTGTATTAATATTAGAGTACTGTATTAATATTAGAGTACTTTATTCGTATCAATACGTTATTACTATTAAAGTACTGTATTCATATCAGTACTGTATTCATATCAGAGTACTGTATTCATATCAGTACTGTATTCATATCAGAGTACTGTATTCATATAAGTAGTGTATTAATATTAGAGTACTTTATTCATATCAATACTTTATTACTATTAAAGTACTGTATTCATATCAGTACTGTATTAATATCAGAGTACTTTATTCATATCAATACTTTATTATTATTAGAGTACTGTATTCATATCAGTACTGTATTAATATCAGAGTACTGTATTCATATCATCCATCTATTATCTTTTACCCGCTTCTTCCATTTTGGGTCACGGGGGTCGCCGGTGCCCATGTCCAGCAATCACTGTGCGAGGGGCGGGGGACACCCTGGACGGGTCTCCAGTCCATCACAGGGACACATAGAGACAAACAACCATTCACTCTCACACCTAGAGACAATTTAGAGTTACCAATCAGCCTAACATGCATGTTTTGGGTCTGTGGGAGGAAACCGGAGTACCGGGAGAAAACCCACTCATGCACGGAGAGAACATGCAAACTCCAACCAGAAAGGACCCGGGCCAGGATTATAATCGGAACGACGTGCTCGCTGAGAGGCAGCAGCTCTACCAACTGAACCACCGTGCTGCCTCCTGGTAGGCTACTGTATTTATTTATTGTAGCCAGCCGTGTTGCAGGCATTGTTCAGAAAAAAAATTAAATGCACGTACTGTTTGTATTTGTGTTTGTTACCAGTATGTATTTAATTAAAAGTTACAAAATTATATTTTTGTGTAAATATCTCATGTTACAATGTGAACACCCACGGCTTATAGACAAGTGTGGCTTATGTGTGTACAAATTATTATTATTATTTTAATTTAGTGGGCACAGTTTATATTCAGGTGTGTTCAATAGTCTGGGAATTACAGTACATAAAATATACAGTGTCAGTAATCCGCCTGTGCAGCAACGTTTTATTAAAAATAACAAGCATGCTTTAATAATGGCATGTGTTTGTTTCAAGTTTCAACATTAATAAAATTAATATAGAACAAAACAAAAGGCATGAAAACAACTATCAGTGTGTACAAGATAAAAAATATAAATAAAAACAACAAAATGCTCATGAATCCGTTTACAGCACCCTGATTTGATGATTTTATTGATTTTCAGGTAGAATTTGATGGTTCTACCACAATAACTGGTTATGAGAAACGTTGGTAACAATGTGTTTATAAGGCGCTTCTTGTGTAAATTTAGTTTTAAACAAAAATATTCATAACTCAACGTGTGACATATTAGAAGTGGATGTTCTTCACCCGTCTGAAGCCTCTTTGGACATTATTGCTTGTCCACTTTATGAAAATAAATAAAAAGGTGAAGAAAAAAGTGGAACTTACCCTTTACTCTCAAGCTCTCAGGGATCACATCCTGTTAGGGAAAAAACAAAAAGACCAAAGTTATAAAAATATTAAGTTACACTAGCTAGAATAAAACAATAATGCTCCACGTTGCCTAAATAAATAAATAATTGGATTGTAAAGCCAAAGAAATTGTGATTTACTGACAAATTATATATATAATAAAAAAAACTATTTATTTTCCAAATGGCTCAAATGGTTTAAAATTCATTGCAGAAAAAACACAAATCATTAGACAGTAATGCCCAAAGACTTCATTTGATCCATTTAAAACGACACCAGGTACTGAAAACATATGAAAGATAAATAAATAAAAACAATAAAGCAGAGGCCCATCAAGTACAAGCACACTGTTGCTAAACTGCAGAGATTACACCTAATGTAATTAAACCTGTTCATTGTGGCATTTTCTGTAATTGTTTTATTGTCTTGTTTTATTAAATCCAACATAATCTGAGGTGAGTTTTGTAGAAGCTACTCTTATTTCTATTCTTTTGTTTTATGATCCACTCGCTGCTCTTCAGTTTCACCACATGAATGTTACCTTTAATGTCATTTTATTCTATTTACTCTCACCGAATCTCTTTCTGCTCTCTGAGTTCTTCTAATGTTTATTTATTGGAAAAATGTGGCAAAGTCACATTAAAAATCAAAGTATAAAGACATAAAGTGTAGAGAAAAACACTGTGGCCATGTGAGCCGCTGCACAATAAAGATTATTTAGAGAAGCACAAGGATGACAGAAAAAAGCTTCTGGACTGTAACTCTAAAGAGCTGCTCTCCAGAAACCAACAAGAGGCATAAATATTAGAGTTCTCAGTGATCTGAAGAGCTCATCATTCTTCTGTCTGCGTCTTTCTGCGAGTTACTGCTGAGCAAAGTTGCAACAAGTTCACCTAATGATGACAGGATCATGCAGTTTCAGGATTTTCACTTTAAGCTAAAACTATTATAGTGTATAAAAATACAAACAAATGATTGTTAACATGTTATTACAGTACAACTAAAAATGTCGTGCATTTATGAAAAATAATATCAAAGTGAGAATAATGTAATATTAACCAATCTTATGTGTAAGTGTATCCTTGTGTCAGCCCCTCAGTATTTCCATTAGGACTGTATAAGCTGCAGATGTTTAATGTTGCTGGATCAAAAGAACCCAAGAACAGGAAAAATATGCTCTTTGAACAAGTTTTCATTTGGGGAGTTCCTGTAGCTGCCATCATGCTGCTAAATAAAATTACTGGTGTTTAAAGAACGCACAGCAGCTGAAAACATACTATGAAATAATAATAGCCTCATTACAGCTACACCCTTATATTTTACACATGAGGACAATTATTTATAAAACTGCTCCTGCCTGAGAAGTACATTTTAGGAGAGCACCATTTGTATTCTGAGAAATGGCTGCTAATATATAAACTGTATGTATTTTTAATTTGTAATTATCTTTTGATTACATTTTGTGCTCAAGTATTCAAACTTTCTATTTTTTTTTTTTGTTTTACAAAACGGAAACAGGAATTCAAAAACTCATCTGCAAATAGTTTTATTAACAAGGAACATCTTTAAAATGTCAAACTTAAAAAACAGAAGTAGCGGGTCATTTTTTTAAAATGTGATACATAAATGAGTGATTGTTCAACAACTACTGGTTGAAGAGAAAACTGGTCCTGAACCTGCACAGAATAAACAACAAGTGGCTCAAACATAAACTGGAAAACCGTCAAGTGCAAGGACCTAATGCAAACAAACAAACAAACAAATAAATAAATAAAACTGTACATACCAGAAGTAAATAAATAAACAGTTAAATCTAGTACAAAGCCAATTCAAAAACCAAAACAACAACAAGTGACAGTTATAAGGATCTGATATATTAAGTGACACCACAACAGAAATATTGCAACAAACATAAATAGTGAAAACAATTTTTTGCCCATTTGTTTGTCCCCTGCGGTTTGTTAAATTATTGTTAACCAACAAGCAGAAAGAAGTGAAACCACCTGTGGAGGTGACATTTAGATTTACATTTGTAGCACAAGTAGAACAGATATCAACGAGGCTGATGTGCATGCGGCAGACATCGGTCACACTTCATTTGATGGAGAAGAATGATTTCCTAAAGGCCAGTGGCAGCCCGGCTCCTGTGCCCGGAGACTCCCGGGACGCTGGAAGCACCCGGCTGTACGACTCACGCTTCATCTGACTCTGTCACAACTAGCTGGCTGACCGCCCACATCTGCCTCATCTGTGTGGACTCTGAACTGCCATCACTCCACCAGGACTCCTGTCCTTCCAGTCTGTCCCCTGTTTCAGACTTCACAAAGTGCACTTCTCCACACGGCCAACTTAATGAGAGCTGAATCTGAAACAAGTGAAAACTGCAACATGGCTGTTGGACAAAGTTACAAAAACATGTACGGTGCTCAGCTCCGTCAGCAAGTTTCATCTCTTTGTTGGGTTTTGAATTTAAAAAAGACAAGGCGACTGGATTTTGTACTGGATTTGGATTGACCAAATATATTTATTTTCATTCAGAACATAAAAGGATATACAGTAGTCCCTCGTTTATCGCAGGGGATCCGCACCCTGAAGACCCGCAATAAGTGAAAAACTGCAAAGTAGAAAAAGTAGTACAAGTAGTAATTAGTAATTTATTTATTTATATATATATAAATAAAGCTATTTTAAACCCTTCCCACACTCTTGCAATATTCTATACAATGTTTCTAAACTCTAAACGCTCTAAAAGAGCACAGAATGTCATGATTTCAGCTCTGCTTCCTCTGCTCTCAGCCACCTGCAAGCGCTTTTGGCCACGCCCACTTATCCGCTCTGCACAGAGAGCAGCTGATCAGCTGCAGCAGAAAGTTTATCCTGCAGTGTGGGCTGCACAAAGGTGTATGTCTTGTCCGATCTTATTTTGAAAAACCGCAATAGAGCGAGTCTGCGATAAAACGAGCCACGAAGTAGCGAGGGACTACTGTACCTGACATGCAACGCTCTACGCTTTACTGCAGACCACGCAGCCCTTTGCCAAACTGATACAGCGCTATACAAAGTGTATAGAGCAACCAGACCCTCCTCCAGTATGTCATGATCCACAGTGGGGTTCTAACCCTCGGCTTTGGGACCGCATGTCGACATCATGGATTAGCATCAACTCCTTCTTATATCTTAGACACTATACAAAATGTGCTTTGCAGCTCAACAAACCACACAGAAGCTCGGAGAATGTCAGCCCAAAGCTTGGAAACTGGAAAGTAGAGAGTTTATTATCATTAGTGACACGGGTTTATGGCTAAAAGTGACCAGCAGAGGAGAAAGACAATGAGCCCATTACTGACAGGAGTCACATTAAAGCTAAAAAAGTGCCCGTTAACGAACACTTCGGTGCATCAAGCCATCACTCGCTTTGCATTTTTACACTTTCTCCCATTTCCTACCCCTTTATCTCAATCCAATTTGCTTTACTCACCATCTTTACTCTCTCTCTCTCTCTCTCAGCCACCCTGATTATCCTCTGCTAATCTAGATTTGCCGTGTGGCCAAGCCAGAGCTGGATTATAAAGCTTTGCACACAGTTGTCCTTGCTTCCATTTTGTTTGTTTAGAAATAACAGTTTGATGTCAAAGTGACAAACGCACTGAGAATTTGATTTAGTCCTGCATATCTACAAAGTCCAGCAGTTTTTCCCCAAACATGCTCAGAGCCTCTTAGTGATATTCAGTCTTTCATTGAAGGTCTTAGAGGAGATCGATGAGAACACCATCAATCTCCTTCTTTGATATACCTCATTATGATTAGACAGTGTGTCCTACACTTGACCCCTTGTGTTGGATTTGACGGCCATTTTCTGAAACTGTTTGTGTGACCAGATGTTTATGGCTGAGTGACTCTCGGTGATTGAAGTCTGTGTGGGGAGGCTTGTAAGGTCGTGTCTGATCCTGTTGCGCTGTCACATACCGTCCTTCAAAAGAAGACACGAGCCGTCAGCACTCAAAGCTTCAATGAATGCATGTTTACCTGATATCTTTGTCATAAGACTAAAATGAATATTTATTATATCTAAAAACAGAAGCGGAATAAAAAACATATGTTGTCTATCTTCCATCTCCTTCTGTTTACTTTGCTCACTCAGCCGTTTTGGCAAGAAAATGACCAAAACCTCCCAGCTATCCAACAACAGAGAAAATGATCCAGGAGGGATCTGGAATAATTTAGAAAAGGACTTTCAACGTGGCGTTCACCGTCAGACGTTTCCACAGTTGTGGCTGACAGGCAGATGGATGAGCAGGGTTTACCTCCGTCCTCTTACATGACAAATTATAATCGTATGCAGATGATGTAATGACGTTCCTGTGGGATGTAATCAGAGCGCCTAGCACATTAATTTCATTCGAGTGGAAAAACAAATACATCATTTTTGTAGTGTCTTGTCACATTCCAGCTACCTGCAGAGATACATTCATTATGTGCGTCAATTTATTTTTATCAAAAAAGAAAATCAAAAAGAGAAAATTTCAATTAGAGATGATAAAATAAATAAATGGATCCCCAGCTTGAGTAAAGTGTAATGAGATGTTGGTTGATTAAAAACCACTTTAAGGCTGATTTGATGACATGAATTAAAATTATGCATCAGCATTTTTGATGAGTTATATAAAGAGAAAATACTAACTGAAAATAGGGCCGGAACAACTGCATGTACTTCTCCTCAACTCATTTCTGAATTGATTAAACTAAAATGACCCCCCCCCCCCCACACACACACACACACACACACACACACACAAACACAATAAAATATAATCAAAGACTTGTAAATTAAAATACACTAGACAACAGCTTGACAAATGGTGCAAAATGATGCTCGTGTAATCTGTGGCTGAATTATTCAGGATGTTGCAAAGATACAACTGGTGAGAACTGCAGCAAACTGGGATGAGAAATATTTTGGCAGGAATTTTATCAGAAAGACACCAGAACTTAGTTTAAAATATTACA